CTCTCTCCCTCCCTCTCCCTCTCTCTCTCTCTCTCCCTCCCTCTCCCTGCCTCTCTCTCTCCCTCTCTCTATCCCTTCCTCTCTCTCTCTCCCTCCCTCTCTCTCCCGCTCTTTCTTTCTCTCTCTCTCTCTCTCTCTCTCTCTCTCTCTCTCTTTATCATAGACCAGAATTCCTTCTGAGCACAATTTAATAAGACCTGTCAGTGTGTGTTTTTAGGTTGCACAGACACATTAAACACTGGATTGTACAAGATTTAATTTTCTGGAATTAATTAGATGTTGCTAGTAGGCTTAATTAGACCTTCTGCTGCATCTCATTTTAATTAGAACATGTGACAAGCACAGATGTGGGGATCCAAGCCCAGTTAAAGGGGCACTATCATGAAAATTCAGCAAAATACATAATTATATTTTGAATATTTTCTCGTCATGTTCATAGGCAGTACATCAAAGTAATGATTTATACTCAAAAAAAATTATTGTAAATAAACAGCAATAAAGTAATAGAAAATCGATACAGCAACTCTTCATCTCATATGTTATGCTAAATGGCAGAATTCACTTATAAACAAAGAGTAGAGAAAATTACATAAACCTGAGATAGATGACAAAAGCAAGGAGTAGAGCTAAGAATGCAATGTCCTTAAGATGTATTGTCTTGGGTCAAAGACAGGGGCGTAACTAGAAATCACAGGGCCCCATAGCAAAATTTTGTATGGGGCCCTGTGATTGACTTTTGAAATGACATTAACATGTTAAAGCTTATATGAGATTTTGATGATTTGGTTTAGCCCTTTCGGAAGGCCCGATCAGACCATGTCCGGTCCACTACTTTTTTTCGCCGCAATGCACGGTATTGCGGTCCCATGCATTGCGCTTTGCTGCAGCACAGGGCTGCCAGTTGTGCGTTGGGGTGCCATTCAAATGAATGGCAATACACCTAGTGCACAGTACCAGGGGCAAGTACTGTGAGTTTAACGCAGTGGTGGGTGTGAATGGGCAGCGGGCCCTAACTGTAGTAATGATCTAGTGGAGTTTTGCTGCTGCTAGGGGGTAAAAGTGTCAGCTGCTGTGTTTGCACTCTATAAGCTGCTGAGCACACAAAGAAATAGAGGGGAGGCTGTGAACAGACAGCAACCCCATGTTCAGAGGAAACAAGGCACAGCTTGAAAAAGAAATGGCTGCATCATCTTGAAAGGGATAATTAAAAGAAGTGCTGGATGGAGGCGTACCTCCCACAGCATACAGCGAGAGGGATGGGGGGACGAACCTGTCACATCAGCTTGCCTAATACTGCAACATGTGTTGGAGCCGATGGTTTGCGTACTATAAAATAAAATAGAAAAGAAAACTTGCAAAGATGATAAGAGCCAGGAGGAAGGGGTTAAATAGGTGTTAAAGGGGAAGTAATGTCAATATTGTAACTCATTTACCAGCATTTAATACATATTACTTGCTGCTGTTATCCCCGTCATCCAAAGCCTTTCCATACGTGCAATATTGATATTGACATCAGTGGTGCATATGTATTACATCCATTCTCAGCTTTGGGTAGCTCTGCCATAAAGTATATACACCTGGAGGCTTGAGTGAATTTTATAGACTGTAGAAGGTCCTTATGTTATTACATTTATAGAAGGTACAATGAACACCGCTGAAAAGGTTGCTCTGGCCTCGGTCCCGTCTTTGTCATGTGACCAGAACCCTGGGCACTGGTCATGTTATTTCTATTAAAGGGGAGGATCAGAGATCAGCCACCAAGTGGGTCGCTCTGCCATAAAGTATATACACCTGGAGGCTTGAGTGAATTTTATAGACTGTAGAAGGTCCTTATGTTATTACATTTATAGAAGGTACAATGAACACCGCTGAAAAGGTTGCTCTGGCCTCGGTCCCGTCTTTGTCATGTGACCAGAACCCTGGGCACTGGTCATGTGATTTCATTCAAAGGGAAGCATCAGAGATCAGCCACTGATTGGTTAGCTCTGCCATAAAGTATATACACCTGGAGGCTTGAGTGAAGTTTATAGACTGTAGAAGGTCCATACGTTATTACATTTATAGAGGGTAAAGTGAAAACCGCTGAAAAGGGTGCTCTAGTCTCGCCCCATCTATGTCATGTGACCAGAACCCTGGGCACTGGTCATGTGATTTCTTCTGAAGGGGAGGATCAATGATCAGCCATTGACTGGGTAGCTGTGCCAACCTTCTAAGCAGATATCACATGACCAGGATGAAGGATTTTGGTATGCTACCAGCAGCTAGCAGAGCCTAAAGAATGAAATAAAATTTAATCAGTGAAAAAAATGTATTTTTATTGGCAGGTCAATGATGCCAAGAGCGAGGATTTTCACCGATAGCGACGAAGAGTCCTCAAGCGCTGGCTCGTCAGAAGATGAAGAGATCCCAGCAGCAGAAACACAGGGTACTGTGGCAGACAGAGCTAACCCAAATAACACTGACAGGTACAGTAAATCAGAATATAGTCTTTCTTTATGGGGGGATATTTATTTCAGATTAGTTGGCTCCATTGTCCAGATGATTCATTGTCATACTGCCCACCTGGATGACTAGTCCTGACTAAGACTTGGCTTAGCTAAGTGAAATGTGTAGATCGAAGAGGCTATGGTTATTGTTGGATGAAGTAAAGGGCCGGGGTTTGGGTAAAATAGGGTCATGACCTAAATCTTTTTGCGCTGGCTTTTGAAATGTTGGAAGATATATTTTACAGAAGATTGCTACAAACAGAAGAGAACAGCAACTGGACTCCAAGAAGCACTACTATGTCTGTAGTAGCGGTCACATTATCTACCAAAGTGGAGGACATTCCATAGATTAAACTACAGCTCCAGACACTAAAATAAAGTAGTGGATGGAGAATGTTGTCTTCTCATCTGAGTTGTTTAACCTCCCCTGTGAGCTTCTCACAAAGCTTCTTGGTGGGACTTCATCATCATGTCCCAGGACTCTGCTGTGAATCCATGCTGTTGTGGTCTGTAATTGTAGGTAAGGTTGCTGTGGGATCAGAAAGATGGCGGTGCTTGAACCAGAGAACAAGGCCTGCTTTGATCCAAACTCAGACCAGATGATTTATTACCATACTGCCCACCTGGATGACTAGTCCTGAGTAAGACTTGGCGTAGCTAAGTGAAATGGGTATAGCGAAGATGTCTTGGCTCAGCGAAATTGGTGTAGTTGGATGAAGAGAAGGGCCAGGGTTTGGGTAAAATAGTGTCATGACCTAAATCTTTTTGCACTGGCTTTTGAAATGTTGGAAGATATATTTTACAGAAGCTTGCTCTTATTGCTACAAACAGAAGAAAACAGCAACTGGACTCCAACAAGCAAGGTGTCCCTTGAAGATGTCTGTAGTAGCGGTCACATTACCTAGCAAAGTGGAAGACATCCCATAGATTAAACTACAGCTCCAGACACTAAAATAAAGTAGTGGATGGAGAATGTTGGCCAGGAAACATGGCTGCCGAACTCAGAAAGTCTTCTCATCTGAGTTGTTTAACCTCCACTGTGAGCTTCTCACAAAGCTTCTTGGTGGGACTTCATCGTCATGTCCCAGGACTCTGCTGTGAATCCTTGCTGTTGTGGTCTGGTGATTGTAGGTAATGTTGCTGTGGAATCAGAAAGATGGCGGTGCTTGAACCAGGGAACATGGCCTGCTTTTATCCAAACTCAGACATCTGGGTCATTCTGAAACTCCACTATGTAAAATTTTGGCAACTACAGGAAAGATGTTTGATTTAAGTTTGAGTTCTCTTCATAGCTGACTCTCTTTCTGCAGCTTTACGGGTGGGAACAGCACCAGCCGCAAGATTCTACGCTTTGTAGATAAGATCGCCAAGTCACGATACTTCCAAAGGGCAACGGAAAATGAATACATCAAAAGGAAGATGGAGGAAATGTCCAACACTCCCATGCTGCTGACCGTGGAGGTTCAAGAGCTGGAAGGAACCCTGGCCGTCAATATCCCCCCTCCCCCCACTGACCGCATATGGTAAGGAACTATTGTGTAACTTGCACTTTTCTTTTGGTCAGTCGTGACTCTTTCAGACATTATCAGGGGCACAATTCCAGAGACGGGCATTCCAAGCCGGATACAGACTTGCCTGTTGGTTAGCTAACTTAATTGGGTACCCCCAGGTCTCTCCCATAGAAATTGTGAACTGATGAGTCCCAATAATCCTGAAGCAGCTGTATGAATGTAGGAATCAGTTCCATAAAAACAGGCAGTATCTGTGAGGAAAATTCTGCTTTGCCAGCGGCAAGATTGTTTATATGTTGCTGATTCTCTGGCTGTTATGCTAATCCTCAAGCTTCACATTGTAGTGAGTCACTGACCAAAGACAAGCACTTTTCTGCTGACTTCCTCCCTCCAGTTTCTCCCATGTTTACGCGGGAAAAACACAATGGGGGGAAAATGGAAGATCGGAGCAAAGCCTAAGCTTTGCAGGCGAGTCATTTCTAGAATTATTTGTGCCATGCTTCAAAGCTTTTGGTGAGACCCAGCTACAGAAATACATTTGCGGTCAGGTAGATCTGAACAATCTCTATTTTCATAGTCTGACCTTTTTTGATACAGAAGATGTGCAGGGTGTCTAAATATAACAGTGAAGGCTAAAATGCACCAAAGTTAGACCTGGTCTTTGTCCAACATGCCCCTTCCCTTCCCTTTCTCTGCAATACATGTGATGAGGGGTGTAAATGTTGATCATGGGGCCATATAGCAAAACTTTGATGGGGCCGCTCGGTGACCTTTCTACTGGCAATGATATTAAAGTCAGGTAGCAGGAGAGCTGTATGCATTGTCTGCTCCTGTACATCTGACATCTGTTTAGCCTGAGCCGTTGCCCTTACCTACTGCGGGACCCGCCGACTTTCACATATGCAGAGGAGGACCCCGGCATCACATAAGGGACCTTTCCCTGCGTTTGAGGAAGCCGGCAGTTCCTGTAGGTGCCCCTGGCCTTGGAGCAGGAGGGTGCATTTTGTGTAGAATGCACCCTCATTGCTATTGCTGTATCTTGACACCACACCGGGAATTAGGGAGTCTGTAGGCACGTACCTACTCTGCCTAATGGTAAATCCGGCCCTGATGACTCCAAAGAGATTTTTTTTAAAAGTTGTTGACTTTAAACTATGAACACGTTAAGTACAGGCATGTGGATGTTTTTACAATAGTTTAAACTTGACTCTCTTTCCAAGTTGCCCTGCTGTATTGACGAGAACCCATGTATGAACTAACGATCAGCATACATTGTAGGTACAGCTTCCGATCACCACCACAAGTGGAAATGAAGGTTGTCCCGAAGCTCGGAGAGAGAGAGGTCACATTCATACATGTCACTGAATGGATAGAGAAGAAACTACAAGATGAGTTCCAGGTACCCAACTTCAAATATAGCATGCCTACCACAACTGCATGATGGACCATTACCACATGGTGAAAGGCTGTCTGCTGCATGAGCAATTCTGTAAATTAAAACATTGTATAAAACAAGAGGTGCAACATTGTAAAAATTGATGTAAATATTTTTTTTAAATGTTTGGGCTGGAGTTCTACTTGGGCATTTAAAGCCCAACTGGGTGTGTTGCTCCCCTGCAGAGAGAACATTGTTTCCAAGCTGGATACAGACTTGCCTGCCAGAGAGCAAGAGTCCTTCTCTGCAGCATGCTGGCAGGGGACAGGCTTTATAAGAACTTAAAGAGGAACTCCAGGCAAACGTTTTCTTAACCCTTGCATTGGGGCTAACCCCCCCCCCCCCCATTGGGGAGCTCCTGAATGCCATTTGGGTCTGGGAGCCATATACATATATTACTAAAGCTGAGGCTCCCAGACCCGAATGGCATTCAGGATCCGAATTTCTAAAGACTCGTCACCCGGCTTCCCGATTAGCAGGGAAGACATCCCCATGCTTCTCGTCACTATGTGACATATAGCATGGAGCCGGCTTCCTGATTGGCCGGGAAGCCGGCTCCATGCTCCCTCATCATGAGGTGACGAGGGAGCATGAAGCCGGCTTCCTGGCCAATCAGGAAGCCGGCCAGCGAGTCCTTACACGCTGCCCCGCTTAGCCAGGCAGCGAGTCATTACACGCTGCCCGGCTTCCTGATTGGCTGGGAAGCCGGTTCCATGCTCTCTCGTCACAAGTGATGAGGGAGCATGGAGCCAGCTTCCCAGGCAATCAGGAAGCCCGGGCAGCATGTAATGATGCACTGCGCGGCTTCCTGATACAGGAAGTATAGGGCTGGGCAGCGGAGTACTCGCCCAAATACTCGTCATCAGCACCGATACTAGTATCGGTATTGGTGCATACCTAGTAAATATCTATAGATGTTACATTAGATTCTGATTGACATACGTATTGTACTGAACTGATGAAAAGTATAAAACTGCATTCATGAGCTGTGTCTTTTTTTCCCCTCAATGGCAGAAAATCTTAGTGATGCCAAACATGGATGACTTGTACTTTCCCTTAATGCAGCCTGCGGTGGATAATGCCAGGCCAACACAAAATGACCCCTTTAAGCCAGGTCCTCTATGAAACTTGGAACAAGAGCCGCATGGTCCAGCAAACGCCCAGGACTGGGATGCACAGAGAACTCTGGGGTGTCACTGAGTGATTTAGAGGGACAAATGATGCCTGCTGCACTAGATGATGGATCCATTGATGAAGAAAGTCCATTTTAGACTGGACCGCCACATTACAAACCATTGAAGATGGACCATATTCCGGAGCAGGCTACAAGAACATGACATGAACCAGAGACATATCTGTTATGGTTTTCCCAGTGGGACACTTATGTGAGACTATATAGAAAAAGAGGGAAGTAGATGTGTTACCCATAGCAATTAATGAGATTGCAGCTAGAGCAGGACAAGAACGTGTGTTTGACCATCCACTAGGAGAGACAGAGACGCCTTTTCCTCTAATTTATAGATGAGGTCCAGTGATTCTAACAGGGTTATTCACAAAAGTGTGAAGGGTTTGGAGAAGGCAGGAGAAGTGAACAATCTAGGACAACATAGCTGATTTGGAAACATTCTCCAATTCAGCTCACTTTCCAGTTCCGCTATGTTGTCCTAGATTGGTCACTTCTCCTGCCTTCTCCAAACTCTCCACCCTTTTGTGAATAGCCCTGAAAATAACAGGCAATGAGTCTCTATTGGCTTTATCTCCATCATGGTAGTTTGAGGATATAGTAAGTATGAGAAAAATGGCTCTATGTGTCTCTCCTCTCTTATATACATAGCAGCTCAGTACTACATCACACAGGTAGACATTTATGTGTCAAGAACATTGATAATGGTAGCCAATCAGCATTTAGCTTTTAGTAGGATAATGTGGCAAAGCTAAAGAAAACTGCCATCTCATTGGTCAATATGAGCTGATGCACAGCACCGCACTACATACTGTCGTGCTTATTCAATAAAGCCGTTAAGGGTAGGGTAACCCAGATCTCAGTTTATTGATCAGAGCTCTAATAAGGTAAGGTTACTGCAGACCGGTATTATATGTTGCTAACTTATTGACTTTGCCTGTATAACTTTCTATAAGGGTGAGGCTGATTCAAGCACTGTGCGGCCTGTAGCAACTCACTGGATCCCTTCTCTCACTTTCTTATACTACACTGGATGAAAAGGAAAGTCCGAGATAAATAGTCTGAGATAAATAGTGTTTCCAGCACATTGATAAATGAATTATAATTTTCTTATAAGGACCCCTATTGTGGAATGCCTCAACGTATGGGAAGGTTGGACTGGGGGCATTTAACCCCTGGGCCAGTACTAATAAGAAATGCTGGGCTGAGAGGCCTGAGTGGAGATCAATCAATCAAAGCAGGAACTGCAGGCAGTACCACAATGCAATCACAGCATGTGGCAAAGGGAAGTCTTCCAGTACCAATGTCCACTGAGATGCTGAGATATTATGTGACTGAATGCAGAGAGGAAGGTCATGAAATATGTGGAAGATGTGAAGTGATGTGTCCCAATAAACCATATCATTTAGGAACACCCACCTTTCACCATGCCTACCAATCACTGAGGCACCATGGCACACTATTATTAACCCAGAAATATGTCCCTACCATCAAAGGGCTAGTTGGTTGAGTTTGCCCGTACGCCAAAAGGTTACCAGCCCCCCTTGCTTCGGTATTCCTAAGGTTACAGCCAATCAGACTTGAGCGAAGGAAAAGTAATGGTGCGGCTACGGTAACCAATCAGATGTTAGCTTTACTAGACTGGGTGGAACTGGTTACTGTAGACACTTTACTTTCTTGTTCTTATCACATGGCTCCAGTACGGGGACTTACTAAGGAAGGCTGATCACCCAAATAATGAAAACTTTGAAACATTTGTGTTTCAACTGTTTGTGAAAAGTGAGAGTTCATTGGACTGACTCTAAGGGATATATTTTTTAAAGCAGTGGATGTGACAAACATTTGCTGCAGGTGTATCTTTAAATGACAGGGATTTATTCACCTGCAGTGAATGTCACATTGGTTGCATAATAAGAAGGCAAACCTCATTAGGTTATGACAGAGGCTAAAGAAAGTCTGGGCTGAAGAAAGTGTACAGGTTTTTACTGCTGACCCCATTCTGAAAAAAAGTTAATTCTCTGGCTGGCAAGCTGATCCAAATGGCTTTGATATTTGGTGGGGAAGTCAGCAAAGAAAAGAATACTTGTTCTGGCTCAGGGCTGGAGCCACTGTATCAGCCATGCTTCTAGCATTTTCAGAAGATGGGGTCAGTAATGGCAGCGTATGTATTTTTGTCAGTGGGGCTTCCTTTAGGTTGGATAACATAATGGCGTAGAAGAGTTTGGAGACAGAAGTACACATTGGCCAGTCTGGTATAGCGAACCCTACAAGGTCACAAAGCGTCAGACCTGACTAAACAAAGCACATTTCAGAATGTATCGCAGGCCATGTTTTTAGTATTATAATTTTAGCCTCATGCCTGTTTAAGGATGAACTCCAAAAAATGTCTTTCTGTCACCTCGGGTGAGTGTAATGTGCCCATGCCTTCCTTCGCTCCACCTTCTGCTGAAAAATCTCAGCTCTCCCTTGTGTTCTTTCAGTGTCTGCAGGCTTCCTGTCCCCCGTGCCCTTATTGTTTGAATTAAACTAGGTGGTTTTGTAAAAGTGTTTGGAATGGGACTTTTTTGTCTGGAGTTGGGCTTTAGGTTACTGCTATTCCTAACTAGATTTGCTCCTAAAAGATGAAGGACCTCCCTGCTGCTCTCTCGTTGTCTTCCCACTTCCGGCCCCTATGCTCTTGTCTGCAGTTTGATGGGGAGGCACGAATTTTCTACCTTTCAGACCTCAGAAACCCATAAAAACAGACCTCAATCTGCTGATGAGTGATCTCTCGGGCGTCTCTTCTGGTCGATGGTGGTCCGAAGATGCTCTCTTATCTTTAACGGTCCAGCCACCCCCCCTAAAGGCTCCAGGACCCTCTGAAAGGCCCAACCAAAGCCAGTGTCCACATCACCAGGAAGCAACATGGGCACT